AAAGAGCTCTTTCTTTTCTGCTTATTAATAGCTCTGATTAAATTATCTCTGAAAAACCTACATGGTGTGCACCAATGGGGGCTCGGCTCCCTCCAGGCTCTGGCCTAGATTATGGCAACAAGGGCAGGTGAGGCAGGTGGGGGCTGGGGAGGGAGGCTGGGACAGGCCTGCTCCCCCCACCAGGACAAAGACTCAGTCTCTGCCTCCCCACCCCACTCCCCAGCCCAGCTCAGACTCTGACCACCTCTACTCTTGGGACATTCACAGCCCCCTCACTTGGGACACTAGGCCTTACGTTGGCGATTCCCTCTGCCAAGACCACTCTTCCCCTCACCCCTCCCCTTGGCTACCTTCTACTCACTTCTCACAGGGCCACTGATCAGCCTTTCCACCATCACCAGCCCACCGGCTAGGTCAGGTGCCTGGCTCTGTGCTTTTCCCTTCCCCGTTACCATTTTAATTACTATGTGTCTTGGTGTGGACCTCCTTGGGTTGAATTTGTTGGGTGATCTCTTTCCCTCCCCAGATATGGGATGTTTTCAGCTAGCCGATAACTGCTAGTTGTCTTATCTGTCCCCCCATGAAACTTGAGCCCCCCAAGGTCAAGGACTGTGTTTGGATCACTGCTGAATCCCTAGTGGCTGGCACAAAGCAGGTACTTAGGAAATGTTGAATGAATGAATGAACGAATGAGCAGATTTAAAGAGGGAACGGGCATGACTCGCCTTACACACATGGGAGGGTGGAAGCAAAAGTTTCAGGGTCCAGACCCCTTGAGCAGTGCCTCTGTGACAATTAACCCCATTTCGAAGATGGGGAAAACCAAGGCACAGAGCAGATGAGTCACATGGCTAACAACCTGAAGAGTCAGGATTCAAACCCAGTCGGTCTGATTCCACTCCTCCTCTCCCTGTTTTTCCACTACAAAGAAAACCTGGGCCATATTTATTCATTGATTCAGAGATTAATTCAACAAAACTGAATATTGAGTGCTGACTGTATACCAGGCTTGTGCTAGGGCTAACACAGTTCAAATGCAGCCCCTGCCCTCTCAGAGTCCTCAGGTTGGTGGGGAAGACTGTCCAATAAGTGGGCCCTTATAAGACAGACCAGGCACATCTATGAAGGGGGAAGGACTCCAGCCTAGAGGGCAGTAGTCAGGGAGGGCTTCCCGGAGGAGGTGGCACCCTAGCTTAAAATCTGAAGGAGGAGCAAGAGTTAACTACCCGGAGGGAGGCTATTCTCGTTGGAACGGACAGAATGGGTAAAGAACTGGAAGTCAGAGAGACACCTGGGAGGATGTGCAGGCATTTCAGCAAGGCTGAAATATAGGCGATATACACGGACAGTGAGGACTGAGGTTCTCTCTGTTCCCCAACCCCCTCAGGGCCTCTTGAACCCCTGGCTGGAGCCAGCATTCGAGCGCTGGCCGGCCTGGTGGTTCTGCGGACCGTGGCAAATCTATCTTGACACTGTTTCCATTCACATAATGCAGAGTTATTGCACATGACCATAGCAAGGGGAGGCTGTATCAAGGCTGGGAACTGGGGGGCCGGTGGGGGGGCATGGACAGGAGGGCCTGACCTCAGGGAGGGTGTAAGTGAAGGCCTGCGGCGGAGCATCTATGAGGCTGTTCCCCTTCCCGGACCGGTAGGAGAGGAAGACTCAGCTCTCCGCTTCTATAGCTGCCTTCCAGCCCGCTGCTGCCTGAAATCCCACCATTAGCTCATCATGAGCTCACAGGCCTTCAGAGATGGAGGGGATTTTTGAGACCTTCTAAACCCCTGGCCGTACATTGGAACCACAGTGGGACCTTTGGAAGCTACCGGGTCAGGGGAGGGGTGCCAGTCCACGAGAGCCTGATTGGTTGGGCTGGGTCATAAGTCCCACCCTCCATTTTACAACAGAGGAAACTGAGGTCCAAAGAGGAGAGGAAATCTGCCCTCAAGGCCACACCCAGTCAATTAGTGGCTGGCACAGGGTGCAATAAATCAAGATCAGGGGCTCTGGCATTTGGGCCCTGGTTCTGTCATTGTGTGACCTTGTGCGAGTCACGTGGCCTTCCTCAGCTGTAAGATGTGGACAGTAATCGAATAGACCTCCCAGGGGGTGCTGTGAAGGTAAAAGGAGATAGAAATAGGTGATATAAACAGCACCGAGCATGTGCCCTGAACATAGTAGGTGTCAAGTCATGGTAACCGACGATGGAAAAAAATCCCAAATCGGAAAATAGATGGTGTGGCCACACAGCCTTCTTCTCTACTTCCTGCCCTCTCTTTCTTCCCAGGGTTTTGGTGGTCGCCGTCCCTCTCCCTGCACCTGGCTTGAGCCCTGCACCATATTTTCCCCACCTGTCCACACCCTGGGTCCACCCAGTGCATTGCCTGGGCAGCCTGCCCTGATGTCACTAGCAGCTCTGGCTGCTTGGCCCCTGGAGCAGAGCGAGAGGAAGCAGCTGGGAGTTGGATCAAGTTCCCAGGTAAATCCCCACCCCCATCCCAACTCCAAGAGGGTTGGGTGGAACAGCCCGGGAGAACTAGAGCAGGGCACTGAAGCCAGGGGCTGCTGGATATGGCACTCATGGCAGCTGCTCCAGGGCCTGAAACAGGACCTGCTCCTGCCCTAGATAAGACGATGGGTGGCCTACTTGGTTGGCCCTGGAGCTCCCCTGCGGGCGCCTCTCCCAGGCTCTGGGTAGGGGTGGGTTGGCTCCTAAAAGTAGGCTAGCCAACCCCCCTCTCACCTGCCCCTATAAGCAGCCCATCACACTGGGTACACTCACCAGGGTCTTCAAAGCCTTCCGGGTCTGGATGACTACAGTTGGCATTTATTAAGCACTTAGTGTGTTCTGAATCCTTTCCAGCAACTTTTTGTCCACACAACAACCCCCTCGGATAGGAATTATGATACACAGACAGGAAACTGAGGCACAGAGCCATGAAGGTAAATGTCCAAAGCCAACAGCCAACGAGGACAAGGTTGGAATCGCACACAAGTTCCATGGGATTCCACAGGGTCACACAGACATAGCCTGAGAGTGGTCAGAGGAGTTCTGGCTGCGGCTTTGCATTTCTGTAGGGATCGTGAAGTCTTTCCTGCAAAGCTCCCTACCCAACTTGCTGTGGGATGGACACATGGCAACTGAGGGAACTATCCCTCCCAGGACTCAATTTCTCCAGCTGTAAAATGGGACTGCTAAGCAGGCCACTCATGGGCTATCAGAGAGACCTATTGAGAACCTATGAAGCTACTTAGAAGGTAAAAGGCAAGGTGCAGTACAGTTTGATGGATTCAAAATTTGGGCACCAGGTGATACTGTGCCTCAGTTTCCCCGTTTGTTAAGTGGAGGAGAATACCAGGACCTGCCTCCCATATATGTGGTGTGGATACCATGCGGTGGACTTTGTAAAAAGCTCAGCACAGTGCCTGGGTATATAGTTAGTGGTCCACAGATCTCAAATGTGATCCCAAAAGTCATTCACTTCCAAAAATATGCCTTGGGGCAAAACACTCCGGACAGAGTGTCACTTCATATCTCTTAACCTCAATTTCCTCTATAAGCTGGGAATATAATAATAATACCTACCATATCGGTTTTCTCATCTGTAAAATAGGGGTGATAATACATACCTTACAGGGTTGTTGTGAGCATTAGGCAGAGTACTTCATTACGTGTTAGCTTTCTATTATTTTTAACAAATTCCTCATAGGGTTCTTTTCAAGATTAAATGAAACGATGCAGGTAATGCTCTTAGCATAGTGCCTTGCCCCAGATATGTGTTCAATAAAGGATACTGGTTTTTCCACCTCTGGGTCCCGACAAAGGGACTACAAATACCAGCATGCTCTGCGCCTCAAGTCGGGGCCCCTCCGCCCGGCGTCGGCGCGCTGCATGCCGGGAGTTGCAGTCCCCGCGAGGCCGGTCCCGCCTCGCCCCAGCTTGGGGGAGGAGGTTGGAGAGCCGCCCTGCCGGCCTTTGAATTTTGCCGCGAAAAGCGCGCGTGGCGGCCCCCGGCCCCGCCCCCCGCAGGATGCGGCGCCGCGTCACCCTGGTAACCGCCTCTCGGCCGCCGCTGATTGGGCAGAACCTTAGGGGGCGGGCGGGGGGCGAGACGCCGCAGCCGCTGCCGGCGCTCGCGCCTGTCAGTCGGGCCGGAGCGGAGCAGCGGGCAGGAGGGCCGGGCCGGCAGCTCCGCTGAAAGGCTGCGTGCTCCAGCCGAGGGAGGTGAAGAGCCGGGCCCGCCGCCTGCGGGACGCGGCACGCGGCACCTGGGCCTGAGGCGAGGCGAGGCGCCGGCGCGCGCCAGGCGGCGCGAGGCTGAGCCCCGGGAGCCCCTGCGCGCCGCCAGGGGCCATGGGCGCGTGAGAGCCCGGCGCGCGCCGCCCCTGCTGCAGCTCGAGAGCTCGCACGCCCGGTGTACCGTGCTCCAGGCCCTTCCCACGTCCGCCCTGCGCCACCCGGACCGGTTATTTTTCGCGGCGCCGAGGCCCCTGGGGCTGCATCCGAGCCTCCGCCGCCCGCCGCCGCCGCCGCGGCTGCCGCTGCTCTCCAGCTTCCCCTCCCCCCACACCCAGGGCTCGGAGGAGGAGGAGGAGGGGCCGGTGCCTTCTCGCCGCCTCTCTTTTGCAACCTGCGGGGGCCGGTGCATGCCCGGCGAGGAGCCGGGGCCGCTGCAGGTGCGTGCAACCCCGGAGGAGACGACCCCCTCCCACCCCCAGGCGGACCCGGGGGCTGCGAGCCGCGGGCGGGAGGTCGAGCGAGAGGAAGCAACAAAGACAGGCTGCAGCTGGGGCCGGCGAGAGGGGCCGCGGCCGCCGGGCTCCTGGCGCGGGCGGAGAGGGCGCCCCGGGGAGCGGCGCGGGCCGAGCTGCAGCCCTGAGCGGGACCCCGAGGGGAGGCGCAGCGCCGCCCGCCGGACGCGGTGAGCACAGGCCCCGGCGAGGATGCGCCGCCTGAGCGCCCGCACGGCCCAGGTCCCGGGCGGGCACGACCCACGCTGAGCGGACAGACCTGCCATCCCCGACTTCGGACGGCGCGGGTCAGTGCCTGGATCACCCTCACCGACAGCGTCTCTTTCCACCCGGAGAGAGGCATCGGCCCCCAAGGGGGGCTCCCTCAGGCAGCCTCTGCCACCTCTGCATGGCTGCGACCCGGCGAGCGGAGAGTCGTCGCCGCTGAGACCTGGTGCCCTTCAACGGCCTGGCTGATCTGGTGAGTTCCGCGGGGCGGGGTTCCGGGCTGGAGCTGGGGGCACTCCTTGGCGTCGGGGCGGCCGGATCGGAAATAAAGGGGCCCTGAGCTGTTGGGAATCCTGAAGCAGCCGTGCTCCTCGTCTCCCCCCAACCGTTTCCCTTTCACACACAACTTGTCTAGACCGGCCAAGCGGCCGGAGTGGAGGTTGGGGGCCCGTTGGGGAACTCCACGGAGCCCCGGGCGAGGCTGAGGCATATGCCTGAGAGGAAAGGTCACCCCACCCCTAAAGCCAACAAAGGTAGCAGCTCCGTCATCCGAAATTTCCCTGGGAACTCCCGCGTCTTGGAGGGCCAAGGAGGAGGGCACCCAAGATGGAACCCTTGGGGTGCTCCCAAGCAGCCTGTGAGATCCTCAGGGGACATCAGCTCCGAGGTGGATTGTGGAGTCCCAGCCATGCAGGTGGCTGCGTTTGAGGATTGGGTCCTCCAAGGCTAGATCTGAGCAGGGTGTCCCGTACAGCCCCCATTCCTCAAAAAAGCTCGCAGGGATGGTGGGTTCCCCAGAGGGGCCACAGCGTGACGTCACTTCCAGGCCTCTGACGTCACTGGGGTTGCAGTGGTGATGCGACTCTCTTTGACCCAGGGCCGGAGGTGGTGGGGTCGTGGTAACCAGGGGCGAGACTGGAAGTCTTTGGGTAATGGAGGGGTGAAGGCAGATTCCGCGCCCCCCCCCACCCTCAACTGCAGTCCTCTGACCTAAATCCCCAGCTCTTCCATGAGGTGGGGGAGGGAAGCAGGGCCAGCTGTCCCTGCTGATGCTCCTCCCCCCAAGGACAGGTGTTCAGCTTTGCCCAAATAGCCTGGCACTGCCTGGGGGCTCAGGACTGCCAAACAGAGCAACTTTATGCTTTCAAAAGGGATGCTACGGAGAACACTTCCTTGAATCCCGCTATACACCCAACCAGCAGACTGAAGTTCCCAGGGTCCCTAGAGAGGTGTGCCCCCACTCTCCCCCCACCCCACCCCTGCACGCCCTTCCCACCCCCGCACCTTAAAAGAGGCCACTTCTGCTCAGGAAACAGTGTGTGCTCCCCCAGCCAGGGAAGGTGCAGAGGAGCTGCTGCCTGCTACCCCTCAAGTCCAGGGGTTCCCCCTGCTGCACAACCCCAGGATGAAGGGCCTTGGCCAAGCCTGGACTCCTATCTGCCCCACTCTCTTCCTTTTGCTGTTTAAGATGATTTTGACAGGCACAGTGTGGTGCTCATTAAGCGAACGGAGGGCAAGTCAGGCCCGTCAGTGCCAAGGTCTGAAAAAAGTGTGTCCTTGCCAGGGGCCAGCTTTGATGGGAGTCAGGCACCAGCCCTCTCTTCCCCACACCCCCACCAGTACTGGCCCTGTGCCTTGTGAAGGGCCAGAGAACCCCCAGCCAGCATCCTGCTGCTGCATTCTTTGATTCCTCTTCTGAGTTCCTTCCAGCGATTGGTACTATTGTCGGATGTGGGTGAAAGTGCTGTGACCACATTTGGAGGTAAAGGTTAGAGAACTGTGGCGCTGCTTCGTTGTGGGGCGGGCTGGGAGCAGAGGGAAGTGTGTGGGGGGTCATTATGAGAAGCCAGGCCCCAGTCTCTATGCAGCCAGCATTTTTTCTCTTCTCCTACCAGGCTCTCTAGCTAGATTAACAGGTCAATAAATATCAGTGGAGCTGCTTTTGGGGGCTTGGCAGGGAGATGATATTTCCAGCTGAAATGGTGTCGTTAAACACACAGGCTTCCAAGGACAGAGCAACAGCAGATGGGGGGAGAAGTGGGAGAGGTGGGCAGAAGGGCTGTTTGCGCTGCCTCTCGAAGCTTCCCAGTTTAGAAACAAACCCGGAGTGTGCGCCAGAGATCCACAAACACAGGCAGTTGGAGGTTCTCCGTGGAGTATTTACACTTCCACAGCCAAAGCGGAGGGAAAGGCTGTCAGAATTGGGCAATTCCTTCTGTTCCCTTCGCTGGGCTTGGCAATAGCACTGGGCGACGAGCAGGAGGGGATGCCAGCTTACCCGGCGTCTCCCTGTGTGCCAGGCATTGTATAGGAGGATCTCAGTGACCCGCTTGGAGTGGCTCATGCCCCGTCGTGGCCCATTTTACAGATGAGGAAACAGGCTCAGGTGCTCAGCCAGGCAGCTGCAGGGGTTTGGCTCCCAAGTGCTTTGGCTCCAGAGTCCCCAGGTGTTCCCACCCCCTTCCCCGGGTGGAGGGGAGCCCTTATACCACTTGTTGGACAGGGTCTCTGCAAGAGTCGGGGGGGGGGGGCTTTCGGCTATGGAAGGAGTCTGGCCTCACCAAGATGCCTTCCCACATTGAAACCTGGGTTTGAATCTGCTTCCCCATTACTTACAGGATACTGTTGAGCAGAGTAGCAACTTCTGCGCTGGCCTTGTGGATGGCCTGCTCCCCTCACCCCTGGCACCCCTTTCTCCATCACTTGGGGAAGGAAGGTGGGGCATGAAACCTGCCCAAGGAAGGGTTGAGAGAGCTGGCCCCGGGCTCCTTGTCATCTGCCCCTCTGGCTCCCCACAGGGAGGGATGAGGCTGCACTCACTTACCCCAGGGGACCCTCCAGGTCGGCACTCAGCTGGTGGAGAAGTCAAGGATGTAGATGGGTCAATGGCAACATTGGTAGATGTGGCTCCTTACCAGCCTGAATGTTGGCAAGGGCCCTCTAGGAGGGGTGCCCTGTGACTCTTGGGACCAATAGGGATCCACCAGGCAGAGGAGTGCAGAGAGTGTTCTGGGCATTGGGTGTGGCTTGTGAGTGCTGGGGTGTACTGGATGAGGGGAGGTGGTGGCCCTGGTGTGGGTGTGTCCTGGAGACTTAGGTGGTTGGGTGAGGTTGAAGCCCGAGAGAGGATCCAGTTAGGGCTCCCTTAAAAGGGATGGTAACCCTGGCCAGTCTCCTCTCTCAAGGTTAGCTCCCACCCACCCCAGTAATCCTTATCACTTGTCTAATTCCACCTAAGCTCGTAAGCTTGCCCATCCCCTATCCCTTTTGAGCCTCACAGTTGCTCTGGCCAGGGCCTGGGCTGGGTTGCTTAACCCCCATTGGTGGGCAGTGGCTCATGGCTAAGAGCCAGGCTATGGAATGGGTCCACCCTTGTTGGCTGTGTGAGTAGCTTTGCCTCTCTGAGCCTCATCCTCAGAACAGCCTTGAATGGCTCTCCCTGTCCCTCCTGGAGCCAAAGATCAAAGACTGCAGGGTAGGCAGGGACCCTTCTAGCCGCCCTCGACTGGGTCTCCCACCCACCTACCCAGGGCACCCCACGTGGTGAGCACACGTGGCTCCCTCCCATCTGAGTTCCTACGAGGCTGGGGCCTGGCCAGACTCCCCCTCTCCAAACCTCTCCCGGCCCCCTCCACCTTACAGTTCCTCGCACACCGGAGGAAGCAAGCGGAGCTGCTCATATTCATGAACAGTAATTCAATCAGGCGGCGATTCCTCTGGGCTCGGGGCGGGGGTGAGAACGAGGAGGCGCGCACAAAAGGGCCGCTTTATTACCTCCCGCGGGCCGGGAATTGCTGCTCTCCCCCAGCAGCGGCCGGAGCCGCCTTTATTGTGTTAACCCATTTGCGTGTCAAGAGCTATTGTGCGCTTTCTCCGCCTGTGCCGGGCGGACTGCGGGCGGAGGGCTGCACGCCGGCCGGTCACCTCCGCGGGCTCCGCCCACCGCCCTGATTGGTTGCTAAGTGATTTGCATCCAAGGTAATCACTTTTATCTCAGAAGGATGTCGACTATAATTATAAGCTACTGACATCTTTTGAAATCTGCCTAATGACTATTTTAGTCTGCACGGGCTGGGGGTGGGGAAGGGGATTCTGGAGGCTGGGGTGGGCGGGGAGGAGGCTGGAAGGGGGATGGATTCCTTACACCTGGACCATTGATTCGTTAGTTGAGAAATATCCGAGTGCCTACTGCATGCCTTGAACAAAAGAGAGGTTCCGAGATCGGGCTTGCTTTGGTTCGTGTGGGTGGAGTTAGTACCATTTCAGAGATGGGGAAATAGAGGCCTGGAGGAATGAACCACCAGCTCGGAATCAAATATGAGTAAGTGGTTGGAACCGAAGTCTCTCTGACCCCCAAATTCATGTGCTGGCCCCCGGATGAGGTGCAGACGGAAATAATAGCATTCCTGGGTAGAGGTCACCTGTCTGGTACCTCCCAGAGAGTATGTCATCGCCCTAAGAAATGCGGGTGCTGTTACTACCCCCATTTTACTGGGGAGGAAGTGGGCACGGGGAGGTTACTTCCCTGCCCAAGGTCACAGAGCCTGGAAGGAGCACAAGTATGAAGTCTGTTGGTGGCCAGAAGTGGGGGTGCAGGACGCAGCATGGCCAGTGAGAAGAGGATGAAGGAGTGAGCCTGGGCTCCAGCTACCCCCTCCTCCATCCCCTGGGTCCACTCGGGTGCTGGGCATCGGGCTGGGCAAGGGCACCCTGCCGGCCACCATCTATGTGGCAGAGCTCTAAGCAATCAGATGGCCCACAGCCTCCATGGGGAGGAAGAGGGGTCTGCAACTAACTCGAATTCTGGTCAGAGCCAGAGCAGGGCTGGAGGAGAGACATGGAGGAGGGAAAAACTGCGGCTGGTCATGGAGGGCTTCCTGACAGAGGGGGCTTTTGCTCTCGGGCCTGAGGACTGGGTGGATCTGCCCAGCGTGTAAGAGTAAATGATGATGTTGCCGGCAGAGGGACTTGGAGATTCGAGGACATGACCCCGAGAGGCAGGGAGAGCTTCTAAGAGGGAAGAGGAAAGGGAGAAAAACTAAGAGAGTGTGCAGGGCCCCGAGTGCTGAGCTGAGTACTTGATGTATCTAGAGGAAGAACCCCCTAAAGCCAGCAAGGGCATCGGTGGGGGGGGCGGGGGAAGGTGATCTGGGTGCTGTAGAGGTCAGTCTGGCCGCCTGTGCACGGCCTTGGGCGTTGCAGATTGGGAGGGAATCCTGGGCTCCTGCACTCTCACCGCCTGTGTGTCCTCAG